TCCTGTGGGAGCTCCTGTCGGAAGGCGGCCTGTAACCTCCGGGCATGAAAGAGGGCTAAAAATTGCCTGTGTTTATGGATACGTATGTGTATCCGCAAAACGAGGGCTCAGCCGGGGTACCGGCTCTGGCCCTTGACCGGGTCTCCCCGGTACCGGGCGGGGTAGCGGCCAAAGCGGTTCCTTGCCGGCTCGGGAGCGGGTCGTTTGCTTACGTGGGGCTGTCGCTGTGCTCCCTCCTTAGTGCCAAGAAGAGCAGAGGCCAGCAGGAGTCACGGTGGAGGTGGCTGAAGACGGCGTTCCTCCTCTCCTCTGCTGCCATCGGTGGTCTCCTGAGCTGGAGCTACCTGAGCGCCGAGGATGGGGTCACAGAGGTGCTGGCTCATCACAGCGAGAGCCTTCAGGACAAGTTCATGGAGATCCCCTGCTCCGAGGACTACGATAGCCACAAAAGATTTGAAGGTATTTGGATAGGATTGTCTGAAGTGGGATGAAGCAGTCTTCAGAGGACTATGACAGGCCGACTGCTGTCTAAGTCTGTTAAACCGAATGTGTACTGCAAAACTCCTGTGTTTCTAGCAAACCTCTGGTCACTGTGCGTATTGTTTAAATCCCCAAACATTTATGCCTCTTGGGCCAGCCCAGAAGTTGTTGTGTCTGAGAGGTTTTTCTGTCATTTCTACATAATTCTCTTCTGAAACTGCTTTGCCTAGGCCATGTGAAATAAATCTTTTGTTAAATCTGTTTCTAGTGTCTTTTCATACTCTGATTCTTGTATAGGCTTGTGGGTGAGTTTGTTACTGGTAAATACTATATAGGGCATGGAATGGAACTGATTTAGAACATGGTCTGTGCTGCCGGCATGTGGTAATTACACAAATGCCAGCTTCTGATCCACCTGTTTTGAGATGTGTGTGTGCAGGCACCTTTTGATGCTGCCTGCAAAGCATTTCTCCTCTGTCTTTATGTCCTTCAGCTGAGCCTGTTTTCTGTCAAATTGGTATTTGTCTCCCCTGGCACTTATTTCTGTGGAGTGTTGATGTTGGATATTCTAGAGAAATGGAAGGTTTTAATCTTCTCTGATGAAGAGCAATGAGAAAATTGCAGTTTGCGTGGATAAGCTACTGATGTTCTTTTTCAGATTTGCAAAGTGTATCTTGATGAACACTTTGAGCCGGTACTGCTGCCAGAAAGCAGCTCTGCTCTTGCTTTTTGTCAGCCTACCAGTATGTCTAGCTGTGTGTTGACTGATAAGCTATTGCATCTAAAAAAAAGTATTTCCGAGTTAGTTTTTAGCCAAATCAGTTGTCTTATCTGGTTCGTTACATGGCTGACAAAGCACTTGCTGACACAAAGCTGGAGGTGGTGTGGAGGCTGGGAGAAGTTGCTTGGAGCTGAGGAAGAGCAAAGCTGATCAAAGGGCTGGCTGGAGAACATAGAACAGTCTATGAGGAAAGACTGAAGGAGTTGGGACTCTTTTTTCCTGGAGAAGAGAAGGCTCAGCAGGGACTACATCACGGTATTCCGATGTTAAGGGGCAGCTACAAAGAGGATGGAGGCTCTTCCTTCACAAGAAGCCACATGGAGAAGACAAGGGGCAATGGGTACAAGTTGCACTGGGCAAGGTTTCATCTTGATATAAGAAAGAAATTTTTTTAATGGAGAGAACAGTCGATCACTGGAACAACCTCCCCAGGGATGTAGTAGAGCCCCTATGACTGGAGGTTTTCAAGATGCGCTTGGGCAGGGTGTTAGATAATCTCATCCGGGCTCCCTTTCCCATGAAAGGCTGGACCAGGTGATCTTTTGAGGACCCTTCCAGCCTGGGCTGTTCTGTGATTCTACAATCTCTAACTTTATTCCAGTGCCAATTCTGGTAGAAAGTGTTCATCAAACTGCAGCCTGGATGTGGTGCCCCAAAGATGTGGAGGTAATTTCCCCTGCCCTCTTCAGGTGGCTGGTCCTGGTGCTGTTGGTCAAAAGGCTTATAACATAAAACAAAAGTTTGTGTAGTCTGTGGTCAGATAGTTTTTCCTCGGTGCTGCTACTGTAGCATCTTGTTTGGAGGATTCATCCCAAATGTTATTGAGGCCAAGACAACTGCTGTCAGGAAGCTACCAGCAAGAAAACTTCCTCAGTAGGGGGATTTTTTGACTGAGCACATGAAAACACATGTTCTGTTTTAACTTTTCATAGTTACTATAAGGAGAGACTGTTTCTGGCTTTATTTGCATAGTGCCAAGGCCAGAGGAAACTGTGCAGCCAGTGTTGCCACAGATTTGGTAGTTATGACTGATCTGAGGCTAAAACTGTCTGCATTGTGCTACCAGGGCTTTTGCTTATCAAAAGAAACCCCCCAAACCAACAAAACCTTATTTTTCCCTTTGCTGGTTTGCAAGAAGAATTTTCTGAGCTGTGGACTTTCGGTCTTGGCAACCCCATCAGTTGTTCTTTCCATCATAAGGAAGGCAGGAACTTCAAGGATATCTCTGCCTGGGAAGAGGAATGAATGTGTTCTCTCTTCTTGTGATGTCATGGGGAGCAAGCTCTGCAAATGCCAGCTGCAAGGTGAAGTGTGACCTCTCTTGGCTTTGTATGAGAATGCTCCTCCCGGGTTGATGCCAGCCACGTCAATCAAAGGGGAGGCATCTTGTGTGAGTTTGTATTCTGGTGTTCTAGTTAGATGTTTGCTTATTGCTGTTTCTTAACTTATGTGATTGATTTTGGTTTTTAGCAGATGTTTTTACATGTGTTCCCCTGTGTTATGCTTTCAGCAAGAGATCAGTGGTATTAGGAACGCGTGCACATGTGTTTTGTTGAGTGGTTAATTGAAGCCGTGCTGTGATAATGAACTTTGCTCATTTTTTAACGCTTGTCTCCTGCTCGGTGCCCGCAAGAGGGTGGTGGTGAGCTGCTGAGCCTTGCTGTCCCGTCAAAGCTGGCTCCTTGCTCCACGTGTGTGTTACCGATAGCTTAGTGAGGCAGTAAATGCGGATTACAGTTCTCTGCTAAACCGGATTCAGCTCCGGAGCTTTAGTCACTTTGGAAATAGCTTTCTATCACACAACAGCTTTTCATTCTCTGTCTTTACTCTGGCTTGACATCCACAGCTGCTGGCTCTGTGTCAGAAGGAGGCACATTCCTATCATCACTTGACGTCTGATGCTCAGCCGTAAAGTTTCCACAGCTAAGATGAGCTTTTCATTTATGCACCTGTCCCTGCTTCAGACTGAACTAGTGCAACTGAGCTTCTAGTTTGCTTCAAGTGATATGGTAGTTGGTGTCAGAGCAGTGGTTTTATTTCCATAGCACTGCCTGCTAGTAAACCTGCTTCATACAGAAATAAAATGAGTTATTTTTCAGAGGCCAGGCACTTAACTTATTATACTTGCAGAAGATAGGGTGTTCTGTGAGCACAGTCTCATCTGCGTTCTGAACCCTGCAGCCAGACCCTGGCTATTTCTGCTGTCTTGAGACATGGTTAACTACTTAAAACTACTGTGGCTACTAGTGTGTCTGATGAAACTCCTGCGTAGTCTCTTATGTGTGTTGATATATTGTGTCAGAGTACAAAGCATCCATGATCACTGCCCAGGAGACAGCTTTAAGATCATAGAATCATAGAATCGTTTAGGTTGGGAAAGAGCTTTAAGATCATTGAGTCCAACCATAAACCTGACACTGCCAAGTCCACCACTAAATCACATCCCCAAGCACCACGTCTACATGTCTTTTAAATACCTCCGGGGATGGGGACTCCACCGCTTCCCTGGGCAGCCTGTTCCAATGCTTGACAACCCTTGCGGTGAAGAAATTTTTCCTC